TAGTTGACAACGAAGGACACACGGGGGGGGGGGAGAAGAAAAGATAAAGAATTAATGCTGGGAAGAGAGAGATTAAAATCAGAGACTTTTGGAGACCCTTTTTAAAAATAATTAAAATAGTAATAATAGCAGCAGCAGAAGCGTAAAGGGTAGAGAAGAGCTGCAACAAACAGCCAGAAGGAAAAAGATTCTAGTTCTTACAAATTTATGCCAGAAAAAAACAACAAAAAAAGGAACACCAAAAAAGAGACTTCCGCCCTGATGAAGGGCAAAAAAGAACAAGATGGAGTCTATGGCCCCCACTAAGACAGGGGTCTTGATCACGTGATCCCTGCCTTGCTCAGCAGATGGGAAGAATTATTCCAGGATGGGATTTTTTTATATACCAAGATGGGGGATGAGAAAAATTTTTATCCTCTCATCCAGAAAATGAAAGGGTAGTGGGAGAATAACCTGAACTTAGGAGCTGAAGGCAACAAACAAAAACACCTCTTAGTCAGAGGTATTCAGAACTAAAAGGCAGGAAAGCAAACAAACAGCCTCTAAATGCATAATAGGAGCTTTGGATGGGCTCAAAAGGAAAAAAGCAGACCCAACTAGCCACGTGCTGTGTCTACACATCTTTCTCACTTCTTAGGGTTTTCCCATGCCTGTACTTTCTTGGCCACAAAACAGGCCAAGTATCACCAAGCCAGTATCTCCCCTTTACTTTCCATGCCTGCGTACAGAAGTGAAGAGATCACAGACAGGCAGACCACTGCATTCTGCCTACCTCTTCTGGTTTACAACTCATATTCTTCTTAACATTTCAAGAGATGTCAATTAAAGTAAAATTCAGGAACAGAACACTGCTTGGAATAACTTCCTATGCTAATTAAAGAGTTAGGCAGAGTCCTTTTGATGTATCAGAACAAAGAACCACAGTGATGTAATGATGATACATTTTGTTCTGTAGTTGGTTAAAAACTGCTAATATTCCATGGCATTTGCTGATGCCCTTCTCAGTCCTTCCTTTCATGATGGAGAAAAAAGAACATGAAGGATAGCATACGTTTCTAACATCAAACAGTGAGAAATACAGGTAGTCCTCGCCTAACGACCACAATTGGGGCCGGAATCTTGATCATTGAATGAAGTGGTTGTTAAGTGAGATGCCCATATGACTGCTTTGCTCAATGACCGCAATCTGGGCACTCCTAGTTGCGGTTGTTAAATGATCTCCTGGGTTGTTAAGCGGACGGAGCAAAAGTGCTGTCTAGTGAAGGATTTCAGTTCAGCGTGAAGCTGAAATCCTCCCAGCAGGCAGCCCTTTCACTCTCAAATGTTCCTAAAGCCCACCAAAGTGTTTGCCCTCCCCTCCATGAACGGAGGAGAAATCCTTCCTGGAGCTGGAGGAACAGAGCTTAGTTCCTCAGGATTTGAGCTCCGTACCGCCCACCACTGAGAGCTTTCCCCTCCCCTCTCAGTGGTGGGCAGGAACAGAGCTCAGATCTTCAGTATTTTCAGATCTGCTAAGAGGTTTCACTGGTGTGAAGGAATGGAGCTCAAGTCCTGATGGTTTGAGCTCCATTCCTTCCCAGCGCCAAGGGGTTTCCCCTTCCCTCCGCGAATGGAGGGGAGATCCTTGGTGGGGCTGGAGGAATGGAGCTCAAGTCTTCAGGATTTGAGCTCTGTTCCTGCACATCACCACATCTCCTTCACTTGCATCCTTTCCTGCCAATGGGGAAACCAGCAGAGAAGATTGCAAATGGTCACATGATTGCGGGACACTTGGCAATCAGTCATAAATGCGAGCTGGTTGTCAAGCTCCCGAAACGTGGCCACGTGACCATGAGGGGGCGGCACGATGTTTTACAACATCTGGAAGTGCTTTACAGGCCATAGAACACCCTTTCTGAGGCCGTCGTAACTTCAAACCATTGTTAAACGAACGGTCGTTAAGCAAGGACTACCTGTAAAAGCATTTGTGCTGCTTCAACAAACCTGAAAGGCACGCTGTTCTGCAAGAAAGAAGCAAGAAGCAACAAACATATTAATGTCATCTCACGCATACATACATTTTAGGAACTATTTGCAGGGCAATTCCCTGCAAGAAATATAATTAAATGCTATTTTTTCTCACCGGCTGCAAATCTAAAGCACAAGACAGTTCAGTCAGATGCAGAAACTATATTATCTTCTGGTCAAACTCCACCATGAAGCAAACAGGTGACGACATACAAAAGTGAAACTGTCTTTATGTTTGCCAGCAGGGGGTTAAATATTATAGTTCAACAGCATTTTCTACCACTTAATCTATAACAGAAATCACTATTACTATCAAAAGACTGCTTGATTTTGAATCAGTTCTGAAATTTTGAATCTCTCACCTTCCAAAAATGCAGGCTGTTGATTATGCACCAGCTCTTTCTCCATTTGTTAGAAACAGATCTCTGAACAACTTGAGAGTATTCAAAACCTGCACCCCTAAAACTCTCTTGAATATTGTAAGGACCAAAAAGTGCTCTTTAGATTGGCACAGGTAGCCTATTTTGGATTATGCTTCCATAAATCTCAGCAGCATAGCTATTTAACAAGGATTATGGGAACTGTCAGCCTAAATATCTGGAGGACAGAAGTTTCTTACCTCTACTTTGCATTCAGCTTCAAGTATTTGCTTACTAGATTCTCACAACATACCAGATGTGCTTGTCTCCGTTTAATCTTATCTTTACGTTCCTCTTGCTCTTTTTCTTGCATTTCCAACTGATATAACTTAGTCAATGCCTGAATGTCTTCTCTTTCTTTTTTCTCTTCTAATCTGCTTACATTTGCTAGATGTTCATGTTCTTTTATCCTAAAAACACATAAAGAGAATGAGCATTTACTAATGTGTAAAGCAGGCATGGGGAGCCTATGGTTCTCCAAATATTGCTGAACTCCGTATTCCTCATCTTCAACAATGCTGACATGTTGCTAAGCATGCTAATTCAAGAACATTCGAAGAGCCATAGGGTCCCCTACCTATCTCTGAAATTCATCAACGATTCATGGAAACGGCATCATCATCCAAATGTATTGTGGTAAATACAGTCTTCAGTCTTTTAGTCAAACTATCACCAAGATTCCCAATATTTTAAAGCAAATGTTGAAATCTCCAAACTACTGCTAAGTCTGTCTCATAGGCCAAGTACCCCCTTCATACATGTAAGAGAATGATTACTGAAAACATTGAAGACAAGAGCAAGTTATTCTATGAAACATATCTGGAGAAAAATATAGTTGCAAAGAATGTTGCCAAAGAGAGCAAGGAATGGCTAAGACTAAAAAAGGCAGGGAAAACACAGAGCAATTCTCTCTGTATTTGTTAAATGTTTGGGGAAGTGAAATGGCTGAACAAGAAACCTCAAGCAGAGTGAATGGCATTAAGAATAAAAGTGATGAAGTGATTTGGGGTGAAACCAGAGAGAGGGAATGCTGGAAGGATAATTTTAAATGAAATTTGCATGCAAATGATAGCGATACATCAAAAAAAGGATTTGAAACAAATGCTATAAATGTTAGTGTCTGAGAAAAAATTGTAAAAGAAAGTAATAAATATTATGAAAATGTTGAAAAGTAGTAAGGCATCAGGTGTAAACACTGTAAGTGGAAAAATATGTAAATATGTGGTTTAGTTATGGAGTGGCTGTGTGACTTGTTTAATATGAATGTGAAGATTGCGTCTGTGCCGGACAGATGGATGAATGATGGTAAAGGTAACAACCATAAATGCAACTGCTACAGAGGAATGAATTTGTCAGTTGTATCTGGAAAGGTATTTGGCAGAATTCTAACTGAAAGGTTATGAGAGGTGACAATAAGAGAAAAATTGGGAAGGGCAGTGGTGCTTAATGCTGCACAGGTGGTGGAAAGACCAGATTTCTGCTCTCTAGTAGATTAATGAGAAAGGTATGAATGTGAGAATGTTAATTTATTGTACAATTGTTGATTTAGAGAAAGCATATGATAAAGTGACTCGGCTAGAATCATGGAACGTTTTGCACAAATATGGACTTGAGGATTAATTGCTGAATATAAGACCAGTATGTGATGAAAGTAAAACATGGGAATAAAGTGAGTTAGCATACTGAGCAGGGAGCAAAACAAGGATACATGATGCCATGGATAAATGTATAAATACTACTTGTATCTATATGAGAAGTGTTTGGGTTGGAGATTTTGACATGTAATTGTATGTGCAGATTATGTCATGTGACTGGTTGAGAATCTGAATGATTTGCAGGGAATGCTAGATAGATTGTAAGATGCAATGACAACATGTACCTGAAAATGAATGTTATTAAAGACCAAGGTAGCTGTTTTTGACAGTGAATATGGAGCAAACAATCTCAAGGTTTACATAATTGGCAATAAGGCCAGGTACATGAAATTATGTATTCTGATATGAAAAGATCGACAGAGAAATTTTAAGATGTTCCAATGCTGGTAGACAGGTAGTAGGCAATACAGGTAGTCCTTGTTTAGCAACTATAATTGGGACCAATAACTCAGTCGTTAAGAGAAGTGGTCACTAAGTGAAACTGTGACTGTGCTTATCTTACTTCAGCTTTCCTTTGCTTTACAGACCTGTGAAGCTCATGTTTGCAAGGATTGTTCGCAAAGTTACTTTTTCATCACTGTCATAATTGTGAATGGTCGCTGTACAAGGCAGTTGCTAAACAAGGAGTACTTGTATGCAGACTGTTATGTAGAATGGAAGGTGGTCAAAAAAGGCTAACATAACTGTGTATAAGGGCATGCTTCTGCTCATTTTGTAATATAGAAATCCAAGCTGGATATGTCAGGAGAAGCAGAAAATTAAACTGAATGCAATGGGAATAGGGTATGTAGGAAATGTGTATGGTAAAAAAAAAAAGATGACATAGAAAAGAAAGGTGAGAACTTTAGAGAACAAAAGATAACATATGAAGCACTATACAGGCATGGTGGGACTGAGCATGGTTTGCAAGGAGGGAAAGATATGTAGAGGTAGTTAATGATGTTTGTATAAACTAGACTTCATTAGGTTTTCTTTTCTCTTCCTCCTGCTCTTCATTTCTTTTATTCACTACTTATTCTTTTTCTGCGTTTCACATAAAGTTGCTTACCCTGAGAGAGACTAGTATGATGGGTGCATATATACACAAGAGGATCCTGCTCATTGCAACAGCTGCTCATTTAGAATGTGTCTGAATAAAAGTTTGGTTTGGTTTTTTTGCCATTAGCATAAATGAAAAGGACAGACATAGTAGGAATGTCTGGAGGAAGAAAAGAAACTAAGTACTAAAACAGCTTAATTTTTATATCGTTGTTTTGGGGGGGAAGAAATATTTTTAACTTGGCAAAGAATATATTTCTCTTATATTTACTGTTCCAGTTGATCATTAGCAATCTGCAGCCTCTTCATATGCTGTGTTTTAGCTTTTTCTTCTTCTAACTGTACAGCTTTTAGACGTTCACGCTCTATTGCTTCATCCTTGCTGTGGTGCAGATTCTTGATTTGCTTCTTAAATTCCATCTGAGCATCTCTTTCCTTTAAAACTTCACTAAGTAATAAGGCTTTCTGCAAAAGAAATGTTTAATGCTTAATAGTCTTCTACACTTGTAACATGGCCAAAAATTAAAAGGAAGAAAAAGTGTAAGCTATATTACATGAAAGCCTTTCACTCTATCATTTTCATAATACTGTTGCAATTTGACTTCTTCTATTTTCTCTTTTCTCTTCTGCGCTTGGTACTTTGCTTCTTCGAGGTCAACCTTTCTTCTTTCTTCTTCCTGTCTCTGTTGCCGCACTTTTTTGGCTTTCAGTTTTTGTTGTGACATACCCTGTGATGCAAGTATAAATAATCTTATTAGGGATATTAGTAAAAGTGGGATAAAACTGGCATCTTTTAAAAATAATACCAACAATACTTACATAGTTTTAAATAAAATAATGCCGTTTTCCCTTTTAACTCTGTCTAACATATCCCCATCTCAAGGGACACTTTTACTAGGATCAGCTGGGTTCTCTATTCTGTTTCACAGAAGTTTTGTCATCAATTCTGATGACAAAATGCAACCATATTCCAACTTATCATGTTATGTTCTACCTTAGAAAATTCCAGCTGCCAAAAGGGTTAGTGTGATGCTCCTTTCGTCATTCTGATGAAAGTAGCAAGGGCCTTCAGATGCCAGTACAGAGATATGCAGCAATATCAGTCAAAAACCTGGTGAACAGATATGTCTTAAGTGGAGTCAAAAGCATTGGCATTCACAGATTCTTCTTACTGCAATAGTGTTGGTCCAATTATTCACAAGTGCTTGAGACTTTAAGTGCATATCTTTCCGTGCTTTCCTTTCAGCGTGAATCCGTGCTGTTTCTCTTGCACGAGCAGTGAGGCTGTCTTGAATTCTTTGCCATTCTGCTTTGGGCAAAATAGTTATCTGGCGAAGATCTACTCCCACTGGAAGAAATATTCCTTCCATCACATCATCTTCATCATTTGCTGTGCAGGAAAGAAAAATACATTAAATAAATAATGTGTTAGAATGAGCAGCCAAACTATTGTAAGATTTTTCAGTTTATTAGGTTTTTCTCTTTTTAAGCTACATCTATCTTTGTTTTTAATTGTCTTGTTTTATAAACCACCCAGCATCATGACAGATTGGGTGGCTTATAAATTCCATACATACATATATGCATACATACATAAATCCTTTACTTGCAAAACATGGCTTTAATGCCCAGCTGAGTCTTCAACCATGCCTAAATTATGTATGTACTGAGTTTTACAATTCAAGGCTAAATATTTTCATTCAGAAGCAACCATGTGAATTTTTGTCCCAAAAGATTTAAAGAGGAACAGGGTAGGAAAGGCTAGGACAGGTGATTGGGGAAAGGGGAATATTTAATTTCTTTCCCCTCAATGGACAAGGGAAAATGTTACATGATATCTCTGTGCATAGAAGAAAGGAGATCTGAAAAGCAGGCAATAAGCTGATCTTATTTTCACTGGGAAATTCTATGGCACTTTTCTACATAGCACAGAAATTGAATTACTTTCAGTGGCTACACACTAGAACAATTTGAAACTTCTCACCAGTTAGAACTGGGAGGCGTGGCTGCAACACTATCCATAAGATGAAAAACAAACCTTAATTCAACTGTAGTCAGTAGTTTAAGCCATAAAATAGTTTATTCACTAACCCATGGTTAAACAAAGCATGATTTACACCAGTGTTTTTCAAACTTGGCAACTTTAAGATGTGTGGACTTCAACTCCCAGACTGCTGTACGGCC